CAATCATCAAACACTTTCCACTGTATTCTGGTTTCCATATGTACTCCACTTTTTGACTAAATTTCCTTCCAGTTGGATCCTGCACCTTTACAGCTTCAGGTAGTGGTACTGTTACATCCATTTCTATTGGAATTCTAGCATACAATATCCTTTCCATTTTAGTTGTACACTCATCAGCATACAATGGCACCCCTAGCCCACTCCCAATCCTACACAGTGAATCAGCACTCCAGTAATTCAATGGTAGATTTGGCAAAGTGACCCACAAAGGAATAGTTTTCAGAATTTCATCCTTGAAGTTAAAATCAGCCGTCCAAACTTTAGTGATTATAGGTTTATTACCTATCGTATGAGGTCCAGAAAATAGAGTTGCATCTCTATCCTCCATATTAGTGAATTTCATTACAAAATATCCCTCGTTATGGTAAAATATCATCGGCTTAGCCACAGAATTCCATTGGCTAGCAACAAATCTTTTCAGAGCTCCGATAGTAGGTGTGTTACCTACTACGTATAGTATTAGAGCATTCCGCCATTTCTCTGTTTCCTTCTCCACTTCATTTTTTGCTAATTCCACAATAGTTTCCCCATTTTGCACTATTGGAGCCACAAAGCTGAGATTCATACCTCGTAGTCCAAATCGATTGTTTCCCACTAGATTAGCCCATGTCTTGTTCTCAGGTCCTTTTACTTGTGATTCCTTCGCTGCCTTCTGCATCTCCATCACCTTGTCACCTCCCTGTTCAGTATGTTCCTTTTGAAGCTGATCTCCACATGCATGTATATGAACCATTGATTGAGGAGTTCCTTTGGTCTGGTTGTTGCTCATCTGCACAATTCCGCTAACAATTGCACCGGATAGTGGTGTATTAGGTCCACTCCTCCGATTTGGCAAATTTGGCCACTCTGACTCCTCTTCCATCCCTTCACCCTCCTTGCATGTAGCTGCTACACCAATCTTTTTGGCAATAGCCTCAATGGCCACTACTGCCTTATTATTTTGCTTCTTTGCCGGCCTTCCTCTGACCATTCCGATGGCTGAGCACGGTAACTTCACTAACGTGCTCTAGAGATAGAAAGTAAAGAGAAGCGTCCTTTTAAGGGATTTAATTCACAATGGTCTCTAAAGTTAGTTTAATGATCTTTGTAATAAAAGATAATTTCAACTTGGCCTTATTTTCCAATATTATCTCTTCATTCGTCACATTTTTTTTTGGTCGTTTTCCATCCGATGTACGTTACTCATATTGCCTGACTAAACCTGGTTTCGTGTTTGGTTAAAGAATGATCACAATTAAGTGAAATTAGGCAAGTAAACGTATCAATTGGAATATAGAAGGGAGAAGCCATAAGTTATTAGATCTAAACCTTTAAGTAAAGTATTTGTAGTTAGCCTTTTATATATAAAACTGTCAGGATAATTATCTAACTGTTATAAATAGAATTCTATTTATGGTGAATGTCCATATTTAGAGAGATTCTAGGGTTTATTACTTGGTGGCTAAGTCAACCTCTCCCTATAAATAGAGGGTTCTATTCCATTGTAATTCATCCCAAATTCAATAAGAATTTCCTCTCTCTCTTTCTCTGCAACATTGCTCTTGTTCTTTTATTATTTTATAACACGTTATCAGCACGAGACTCTATCGTCTCAAGAAGCTCTTTGAGAAGATTAAGGTAATTTTTCTCCTCTTTTTAATTATGACTGACATTATGAAAAGAAAGTTCGTTGCCCTTGAAATTTCGGGCAAGAACTATATGACATGGGTGTTGGATGCTGAAATCCATTTAGATGCCATGGGTCTTGGAGACGCCATTAAAGACAGAAATAAAGCATCCACCCAAGACTGTGCTAAGACCTTGATTTTCTTGCGCCATCACCTTGATGAAGGGTTGAAAATTGAATATCTCACAGTCAAAGATCCACTTATTTTGTGGAATGGCTTAAAAGAAAGATATGACAACTTAAAGTTGGTCACTCTTCCACAAGCACGATATGATTGGGCTCATTTGAGGCTCCAAGACTTTAAGTCTGTTTCTGAATATAATTCTGCGATGTTCAGAATTACTTCTAAATTGAAACTCTGTGGAGATACTATCACTGATTGTGATATGCTTGAAAAAACGTTCACAACGTTTCATGCCTCCAATATGGTTCTGCAACAGCAGTACAGAGAGAAAGGTTTCAAGAAGTACTCTGAGCTGATTTCTCTTCTTCTTGTGGCTGAGCGAAACAATGACTTGCTCATGAGAAATCACGAAAATCGACCCACTGGGTCTACACCATTGCCTGAAGTGGATGAGGTGTATTCCCATTATGTTAAGCGTGGAAAAGACCGTGACTCTATTCGTAGTCGTGATCGTGATCATGGTCGTAACCGTGGTCGTGGCCGTAGACAAGGAAGAAATTTTCCTGGTGTTAATCATCCCCCAAAGAGAAATAACCACCAAAAGTGGAAAGGGAAAGATGAGAAGCCAAAAACAAATGGTCCAGAAACTGAATGCTATCGTTGCGGTGGAAAAGGGCATTGGGCAAATATTTGTCGTGTACCAAGACATTTGGTTGAGCTTTATCAAGCATCTCTAAAGAATAACGGCCCTGAAGCCAATTTTGTCTATGACAATGATTTTGACATCACCCACTTGGATGTGGCAGACTTCTTTGAGCGCCTTGATGGAAAAATAGACCACTTGATCGGTGATGGATCCGTGGTTAAAGATGATTGAGTAGTTTAAATTTTATTTTTGCCTATTCGTAGTAGTTAGTGAATAAACATCATGTAATTACAATTCTTTACATGAGTAGTAGTCATTAGTATCAATTAGTATTATTTGTTTTACGAAATAAATTTAGTTCGTTTTGATTAAATATAGTTCTAGAATTTGTTTTAAATAATATTTCATTAAGGTTACGAATACATGTGTTTAACAGATTTTTGAATTAAGTTCTCTTCGTTCATTTTTCCCCTCTCTTGTGATTAAAAAGTAGATTCTGTCACAATTCACACCATAGCTTAATAGTTTTAGTCATTATCTTGATTCTTGTGTTCTATGAAATTCTACACCCTCTTAGTTATTACTTAGTAAGCACCATGATGCTTCTTTGTATTGCATTAAATAAAAGAATTGCCAAGCATTCTAAGTAGTTTAGAATTCTATATTGCCACAAAATCATAAAAAAAAAAAAAAAAGGACGTAACAAACTATTTGACAAAGAAAAAGAGCCATCTATATAAACTTCATGTTCTAAAAGAGCATATCATTTTCAAATTGTTCTCGCTCAGTACATGCATCAACACAATATTGCATTAATTATTTTTATCAAGGAGAATACTATGCCTATATAGTGGAGAATTGACTCTGATAGTTTGATATGGAAATGCAAAAGGAACGTAGCTTGATGCATATATTTATAATTACATTATTTTTAACTATGTGATTTTTTGCATCATAATCAGAGTTGGCTCGAAATTGCATTACAAGGTCATTATTGAATTATTGCTTTAACTCTGTTATTCTCCTATTTTTTCCCTCTAAGAATACTAATATTTATTCATATATTTCTTTTGTATGTCAAATAATGGGGAGCAAATATGGATATCTCACAAAGCAAACTTGGAACAAAGTTCAATTGTAAAAATATTTGTTTAATTGATTCATGTACGACACATACAATATTCAAAGAGAAGAAATATTTCTCTCATTTAAGTATGTGTAAGGCAGATGTTACTACAATTTCGGGTAGTAGTAATTTAATTGAAGGCTTTGGAAGAGCTACTATAACTCTGCCTAAGGGAACAATACTTATCATAGAGAATGCAATGTTCTCCTCCAAGTCCAAGAGGAACTTGTTGAGTTTTAAAGATATCCGCAGACATGGATATCATATTGAGAGAATAGATGAGAATAATCTTGAATATCTCATCATTACCAAAAATGTCTCTGGCCAGAAAAGGGCTATTGAGAAGTTCTCATCTTTGTCTTGTGGTCTGTATTGGACAAGAATTAGTGCAATTGAGGCACATTCTATTGTAAACCAAAAGGTTGCCGATTCCAATACTTTTGTACTTTGGCATGATCGATTGGGACACCCTGGATCAATTATGATGAGACGAATTATAGAAAACTCAAATGGGCATCCATTAAAGAATTTAAAGATTCTTTTAAATGATGAATTTTCTTGCACTTCTTGTTATCAAGGCAAGTTAATTATTAGACCATCACCAACAAAGGTTGGAATTGAGTCCCCTGTATTTTTGGAACGTATACAAGGGGACATTTGTGGACCTATTCACCCACCTAGTGGGTCGTTTAGATATTTTATGGTCTTAATAGACGCATCTTCTAGATGGTCTCATGTGTGCCTATTGTCATCACGCAACCTCGCGTTTGCAAAATTAATGGCACAAGTAATTCGATTA